CTGAGTCTCCAAAATCCTCTGACTGGGAAATAAATAAAGGATGTATAAGTAATTTACTTAGTAAAATTCCTTAAATATTTTTATGTTTTATTTTTATAGTTACTATTGGTGTTATTGGAGCAGTAACACTTATTGCCATTTGTATTATTATCTTGTTGCTCATCTGTTGCTGCTTTTGGAAACACAAGTATATCAAACAAAAAAAGCAAAAAGAACCTTAATTTTTTGAATTAGACTTAGTTACGTATTTTTAAAATTCAGCTTGTTTAGACAAACAGTAACTAAGTCGTATCAACTAGTTAACTTGTTCATAAACAGTGTCAGTCTGTAGTGCCATTGATATGCTCTCATAAGCAATGTTAGCCTGCATGCCACCACTAGTGCCAGGATCAGGTAAATTACTGTATGCTTCATTGGTTTGTATTGCCGCATCTTTTGATAAACCTGTTATAAAAATAAAGGTAAGATGTGTTATTATATCATACCTTTCTTTGTCTTTTTTACAATTAGGCAAAGGCCTATGATAGGCACAACAATTATTATCAGTGTAAATATCAGCGTTATGGTGGCCAGTAATATTATTAGGACTGCTTGTGAATAATTTGTTGCTACAAATGCAAAATTATTATGACTCAAGGAAGCAGTATGATGTGAAGAAGTAACATAGCCTGAGGAAGTAGCATAGCCTGAGAAAGTAGCATAACTTGAACAAGTAACATAATCTGAGCTACAAGTAGCATAACTTGAGGATACATCATAACTTGAGAAAGTGACATAGCTTGAGGAATAAGGTATACTGTTAATTACATCAGGGGAGGCAATATTGACCACGAAACTCTCTGGGTCTATAAAAAATTGACACAATTAAAAATACTCAGTTTCAAATTACCATATATTGTAGTGGATATAAATATTACACTGCTACTGCTAGTAATGCCGGCATCAGTAATAATAGTGTTATTAATAATTATTATGGATGACATATTGATGGCTGTGTTATTGAATCTTCCCTCTTGATAACTCAATGCATCTAATATTGATACACTGTACATTCCATTAGGCAATGTATTAACACAACCAATGGCAACTGTATCCATTAGTGACTTTATTATTTCATAATATACAATTGTTGCTGAAATCGGTCCTTCATTGTTATTAATGAGTTGAAATGCTGCATAACAACCTGTTGATTGGGAATTATTTCTAAAATTACACTGGAGGCAGACGGTTGAGTCATTAGATGACAGTATAGTAGCAGAAATGACATGATATGTATCTACATGTAAGTGAAAAAAATATACTGTACATTATATCAAACAAGCATACTTACTGAATTTGAAAGTGAAATTATTAGAGCCGATATTATTGATAGTATAAAGGGACATTTCAACACTGTATGTAGCTCCATATTCCAAAACTTTAGTTATGTTAATGGTAACATTAGCATCATTAATATCTGCAGTAATAAT